GTGGAGGTGTAAGAAAAAAATAACAGCGGTGTGGTTGGAGGTAACGATACGCTCGATAGGGGGATTTTTGTAATTTGACCATACCTCAGGGGGTGTTTGTAATTTACCCTTTTATAGAATAATTATTTTTAAATTAAAAAAAATATTTTTTGACTTGATAGGGTTCATTTAGTTTTTTTCAGTTTTCTATTCAAGGGGGTTATGTGCTAATTTCATACCATAAGGAAGTCATGTGCAAAATATAAAAACCACAAGGGGGTTATGTGCCTAAATTCATTCCATAAGGGGGTCATGTGCAAAATTTCAAAACCACAAGTGGATTATGTGCCTAATTTTATACCATAAGGGGGTCATGAGCAAAATGTCCAAACCACAATGAAGTTATGTGCCTAAATTCATTCCAAAGGGGGTCATGCATAAAATGTCCAAACCACAATAGGGTTAAGTATTATTTACCCTTAAATTAATTACTTCAAGACACAAAATAGCTATACAGAACCTGAAAATATGGAGGTCCGACAATTTAAAATCTTAGCACTAGTAAAAATAAATAAATAAATAAAAGGCTTGACAATGAATGAATGAATGAATTAATTAGTAATTAATTATTAATTAATAGGGTAAATTACAAACACCCCTGAGGTATGGTCAAATTACAAAAATCCCCCTCTTGTTTGGATAATTACATCTACCCCCTCAACTATGATTTTTTCTTAGACCTCCACCTTTATGGTGCCAAATTCAACATAGTCATCTAGATTCCGTGAAATGTGCTCTAGTTTGTACTCTTTTTGTGTAAAAAATGCAGTTTCCGATGCACCACAAACTGATATATACAAGCTAAAAATTACATATTATGGTCATCTTGCTTCATAATGTAGAGTTTGAATGGGATAAAACGGGTACAAAAGTGATAATATTCCATATAATCTCGAAGATTCCACTAAATTTGATGAGTTGAGGGGGTGGTTGTAATTATCCAAACAAGAGGGGTGTTTTTGTAATTTGGCCATACCTCGGGGGGTGTTTGTAATTTACCCTAATTAATGATATGGGGTAGACTTTTTTTTGGTCAACTAAAACAATTATTGGTAGATCATGCTTAGAACGAAAAGAACCCCATGAAACGAGTAATGACCACTATTTGGTCTCTAGGTGGTAGTACAAAGTTGCGTTGACTGTTCAACTCTTATTGATATATGTTTTTAATATTTCTTTATATATTATGTTATTAAAGATGATAAAAACCCAAATTCAACAAATGCTACTAAAATAAGTTGATACATAACAAAAATCAACAATATAATTATTCATAACTCTAGTACCGGCTAAACCTACACTCTCGTATAATAGTTTGCATACCATATGAAAGACGTAAACCACACTAGGTTAACCGTGTGAATGGCAATTCTCGAGTAATTTGGGGGCCTAGGGCGAGTTTTAAGAATTTGTAAAAATGAGCGACCATTTGTATTGTATGATGAACGCATTACTTCATTCTAATGAATACGGCTGGATTAGAATTTTTTGATTAGTAGTTAAGAATTTTAGAGAAAATATTGACAAAGTTAAAATAAATTAAAAATTTACGAGGTTTGTGGCAGAACCCTGATTGGAGAAAAAAAATAGTCATAGAAATGCTATTGAAAATACACAATGCAAAGATTATTGGAAAATAAGTTTAAATTCTTGAAATATATAAACTTTAATAGAAAAACTCAATATCTAACTATTTATAATCAATGTAAGACATTTTGTTCCATTAAATGCAAGAATAAGTTGAAAAAAATTACATCCAATACTTAAACTATGTAAAATATTATATAGTTATGGTTATTAAAATTGTTGGACTATTTATACTTTTTAAATATCATTTAATATTATGACTAATACATATAAATAGCACATAATATTATTTAGGGGTCCCTTTTTTTTCTTAAATCAGGGGTCCAAGGTGATGCCTCTCTCGCTTAGAGTCAGAACTGACCCTGACCATGTGTGACAGTAGAAGTGGTACGGGTTTCTCATTATCACTTATCCCCGTTCTTTTACGCTTTGGTTTTTCTAGAATACTTTTTTACTCTGGAATATATCAGTTTTACCTCCATCTATTTTCAATTTATTTCATTTTATCCCTTTTGTACTCTAATTTTATCATTTTTACCCCTAGACTCTTTCAAAAGTAACTAATAACCGTCAAACTTATTTATAATATAATAAATTTGAAAAAAACAAATAAATTGGATAATATTTCAACTTCATTGACTAGTACTTAATATTACTGAGTCAAGAAATAGTGAACTGAAAAGTACAAAAGTAAAAAGATAAAGCATGAAAACTGAAAATACCTGTGACACATCATCTAAATGAGACTTAATCCATTGGGCCTGATTAATTGGGCCGAGCTTATAGGATAACAAATTTATTTGTTACATGTATTAATTGGGCCGAGCTCCTTCATTAGAGAAAATATATATTATATGTATTTTATGTCACTTTGTAATAGTTTTAATATTCAATATATAATTTGTTTTTATTTTTTTTTTGTTTTTTTTATCCTTCAAT